AGCCTTCATAGCCAAGGATTTAATTTTACTTGGATTCACAACCCACAACCATGATGGAGTCAAGAAATCAAATGCATTGCATGTTGCAACTCCGCTGCAAAGATCTGGTTAAAGTGTTAAAAGCCAAAGAGGTCACTTTGAGACCCTGGGTGTACTGGACCCAGTCCACAGTATCTTCCATTACTGTACATGCATGAGAATGCTAGACTATGAATAAGAAAGACCATGAAGAATAATTGACACTTTTGAATTCTGGTGTTGGTGAAGAACATTGCATATACCACAGACCTCCAGAAATACGGTAAAAAGAAAATCTGTCTTGGAGGAAGTATAGACAGAGTGCTCCCTTTGGATCTGCTAGCAGCAGGGACTAGTCCCTGAAGAAGGACTCACTCCCTGCCATTGAGTTGTTCCTGACTCATAGTGACCCTATAAGACGGGGTAGAACCCCACTGTGGGTTTCTGAGACTGCAACTCTTCACAGGAGTAGAAAGCTTCATCTTTCTGCCATAGAGTGGCTGGTGGTTTCAAACTGCTGACCTTAAGGTTAGCAGCTCAACATGAGACCGCTATACCACCAGGGCTCTGTAGGCTTGGTAGAGGATTAACAACAACAACAAAAAATAGAGCAAGATCCTCAGTGAGGTGGAGTGACACAATGGCTGCGGCCATGGGCTCAAACACAGCAACAATCGTGACGATGGCACAAGACCTGCTAGTGTTTCCTTCCACTGTATATTGGGTTACCATTAACTGAAGTGAATTGGACGCCCTAGCCGCAAGTTAACCCAGAAGAGAACTTGGCATGATGACTAATGACTAACAAGTTTAAAGTGACGTTTATTAAAAGGACTACTGCTTTGTAGAATAAGAACACTGTGTGAAAACATTACTAGTAGTTAATTATTAAACACAGAAGTAGATGAATTCAAGAGTTTAAAAAAAAGTTCTGGTAATTTCAACATTTGATTTTGAAGAATGCCTATTCAGAACGAAAAGGACATGTGATATACAAGTCGGGCTGCTAACCCAAGTTTGGATGTTTACACCATTTGGCATTTGTGGGAGAAAGATGAGCCGGTCTGGTCCAGTACAAATTTGCTGGATGCCCTATATGTGATCTCTATTAGTTATATACTGGATGGCAGGGGGTGATTCTGAATGTAGGAGCCCAGAGATTTTCCCAGCCCCGGTAGCGATAAAGTCCACCCCACAAGCACTCATGTTTTCATCTGTTATGTGCTTTGCCCAGGAGGTGGATGTTATGTTTTTGCTCAAGTGGTGCCTGGATTTTCACTTCCCTTCCCCACCCCCACCCAGCCTGCTCCTGCTCCTTACCCCCGCATTCTCATTTTTCCTCCGTCACCGCCCGCGTTCCCCAAAGATACCACCAGCCCCCAACGACACTTAACAAAGTAAAAACTGAGACCACAAGATGCATTTTGAACCACCAATTTCCCCCAAACCAGATCAGGTTTTGCCTGCAAGCTATTCCGTTCTCCCAGAAGGCACCCGTGCAGGATGGGACAGCCACAGTACCCACTGGCACAGTCATCGGAGACTGACCGCATTCCTCCTACTGCTAAGTCTGCTGAGATCTTTCCATGCTCTCTGCGGCTTCCAAGAGCCCTGGCGACACAGCGGTCGTCCCGGGATGCTAACCCAAACTTAGGCGATTCCAACCCACCAGCCGCTGTAGGGGAGAAAAACGAGGCTGTCTGCTTCTATAAAGATTGCAGCCTGAGATACCCTATAGGAGAGTTCTACTAGGTCCCAAGGGTCGCCAGAATCCAGAGTTCAGTTTGGGGTTTCTTCCACTTCTCGAAGCTCCGCCCCCAGCCCTGGCTGCCCAGCTCTGCGCATGCTCAGCGCGCACCTCCCGCCCTGCCCTCTCACGCCCCTCGCAGCCCCGGGTCTCCCAGTGGGCCCTGCCACGCTCGGCTCCCCGCGCGCCTGGCGGGCTCGTCCCCGCAGCCCCGGCGCGGGCAGCCCCGCAGGGAGGTCCCTGAGCCGCGATTGGCTGACGCGGAGCCGCGCGTCGGCGGGAGCAACTCCCTGCGAGTCCGCCGCCCCGCTGCCCTGAGGTGCCCGGCGCATCGCAGGTAAACGGTTTGCTTGGGCTCTGCGGGAGCCTGAAGGAGGTGCAGGCGGACACAAGTTCTCCTGGGAACACCCAACCGCAGTCATTTTGGAGAAAGACGAGAGAGACCTCGTAGAGTCTGCACGCAGTGAAGGTTGGTTTGTTGGCCGCGCGCGGCGAGGGCGGGGGGATGCCAGACCGCTCGGTACCAGCGGGACGTCGGCACCGTCCCCGTTGTAGCAGCGGAGCATTTATCGAAGTGTGTAGAATCTACACTGTAGATGATTGTTTTTCTTTCCATCGCGTTTAGACGGCGCCGGGGCTGGCACCACCTCTGATTGACTCTGTGCCCTTGAAGGACTTAATTATTTTTTACTTCCGTTCACTCACTTTAAGTTTCGCAAAGAATGCAGTGTGTCTTAAGGCCCATGGAGCCAAGTTGTACCAAAGATACAGTTGTTGCTGCTTTGATTCCTAAGAGCCCCGGTGACGTAGTGGTTATGTGGACAGTGATCTACAAGGTGCATAGTTTGAAACCACTAGTCGCTCCTTAGGACAAAGATGGGGCTTTCTACTCCTGTAAACAGTTACAGTTTCAGAAACTCACAGGGGCAGTTCTACGCTGCCCTTTCGGGTCACTCGGAGGCAGTCTCCACTCCATGACAATTGGATTGCTTTGGTGGAGTCCTGGAGACATAACGGTTAGTCATTGGACTGCTAACTGCAAAGGTTAGCAGATCGAAGCTCCCAGCCCCTCCGCGGGGGAAAGACAGGGCTTTTTACTCCTGTAAATAGTTACGGTCTCAGAAACTCATGCGGGCATTTTTACCCTGCCCTACAGGTCACTGTGAGTCGGAAATGTCTCAGTGGTGACTCGGTGGCAGTGAGTACCCTGCCCTATAAGGTCTCTATGAGTTAGAGTTAACTCGGTGGCAGTGAATGCATAATAGGTTACAAGTTAGACTGCAGAGTTAGCAGTTCAAAACCACCAGCCATTTCACAGAGAAAGAGGAGGCTTTCTACTCTCATTAATTGTTACAGTCTGGGAAACCTACAGTGGCACTGGTACCGTTCCTGTAGGGTTACTATGTGTTGGAACTGATAGAATGACAGAAGTTCTTTGTAATATTGGAGAGCCCATATTTCAGACTGTAAGGTGACATTTTCACCAGTGTTTATGAAACACTTTTATCTATGGATGAAAGGAACTGGATAAACATAAGATTGCAATATTCTTAGACAAGGATCGTAGGGAAAAAAACCCACTTTCAACAACTGTCTTTTTTGAAAAGGTCTTTTGAGCATTTTATGCAAAATGTAATATTTGTGGTAGTTGAAAAAGTTAAGTTGAAACAGTCAAACAAAGGCATTTTCTCCCCTCCTACCTCCTTCCATAATTTTGTCATAGAAAATCAGCTTTCAGAATTTCACCTCATGATTTGGTATTACCTAAAATGATGTTTATGTAATCCCAACAAACAAATTTAAAAAATCCAGTTTCTATAGAGTTGAATCCTATGTAACGATGTACCAGTAAAATGAAAAGAAAGCTGGAGCAAGATGGCCGGGAGCGAGGCTGGGGTCACTCTAGGGCAGCTGATCTCGCAGGATCTCCCAAGCTTGGATGTTACCAAGTTGACACCACTGTTGCATGAAGTCTTCAGCAGACAAGCCACCACTAAAACAGGCACAATTGGTCACATAGCTCATGAGAAGTCTACAGTTGTAAAAAGCTGTTTCTGGAGCCCACACTGTCAGGTTAAAAAATGATCTAGAAAGAAATATTGCCATCAAGCTTGGATATGCCGATGCTCAGATTTATAAGCTTGATGACCCAAGCTGTCCTCAGCCGGACTGTTATAGATCCTATGGAAGCAGAACTCCCTATGATTTTCCTACACAGACATTCCAGGGACCCAAGGGAACTTCAACTTGGCCAAGCATGTTTGCTTTGTGGACTGTCTGGGCCATGATATTGTGATGGTTACTATGCTGAACCGGGCCTCAGTGATTCCACTCTTCTATAGATAGCTGGTAATGAATCTTGCCCTCAGCTGCAGGTTTCTGAACATCTGGCTTCTATGGAAATCATGAAACTGAAACATTTTGATTCTACAAATAAAATTGATTTGGTGAAAGTCCGGCTAAAGAGCAGTTGAACAAAACCTTGCCTTTGTCCAGGGTACAAGTAGTAGAGGGAGCACCGATTATTCTAATTTCTACTCAGCTGAAGTACAGTTTCAAAATTATCAGTGAGTACGTAGTAAAGAACATGCTGGTACCTCCAAGAGACTTTACTTCAGAACCCTGACTCATTGTTATTAGGTCCTTTGATGTCAATAAACCAGGCTATGTAATTGGTGACCTTATAGGGGGAGGGTTACCTGCAGTAGTATTCTAAAAGGACTGTTAAAAGAGCCAAGAGATAAAAGTTGGACCTGGCCATGCTTCCAAAGATAGCAAAGAAAAACTCATGTGTAAGCCAATCAGTTCCAAAAACCGTGTCACTGATTTTCGGAACAAGATGATCTTCAGGTTGTGATAGGTAGATGTATTGTGCCAACCTGGCCAATAAGAACATGTGATATTAATAAGGTCACAGTTGGAGGGCAAGGAGATAAAGGGTTCGTCAAGCCACACCTCTCTCTCTTTTGCTTTCTGGTGATCGGACCAGTGTGCAGCTGCCTCAGCTAGTTCTCCACCTCAACTTGTGAGCAACACTCCCTGTTGGACACCCAACCCAGGGATCTTGTCACTATAACTTGAGGTTCCTTTGAGACCTGCTTCTCCATGCTGCTGGTGTGTACATCACTTGAGGCTTGGGACTGTCGGATATTGTCGTATGGCTGACTGTTGGTGCCCTGTCCTGCTGTTTGCTGCCTGTGGCTGGACTACCTGCATTGCTCTGTGGAACACTCAGCTGTCTGCTTCCTTGACCTTGGACCCAGCAGGCTTTGAGAGTTGAAGGACTTCCAGTACACTAACTGTTCCATGGAAGTGAGTTGAACTGAGCCCTCTGTATTTCTGTGTTGACTAATTAGCTGTTATATTCCTTCATGCCGCATATATCCATCCATATCTCTATATCTATATTCATAATGTTCTGGTTTTGTTTCTCTAGAGAACCCTGACTAACACACAGCTCTCGACAGTCTTACTGTATGTAGTTGGAGCAAACATTGACCTCACTGAGCTGACAGAATGGTCAGGCAGGTACTTGGTGTCATAGGGGCTTGACCTGAGATCTTCAAAAAGTTGGAAATTTCCTACCTGTTTCCCCAAAAATAAGACAGTATTTTTTGCTCCCAAAGATGTGCTAGGTCTTACTTTCAGGGGATATCTTATTTTTCCATGAAGAAGAATATGGTACACATTTATTATTTATTGTTTTATTAAAAGAGACTTCGCACTTGCTGTCTGCTCCGGCTGTGCTGCGGCCCACATTGAGCTGCACAGCAGCGTCCGCCACTACGGTCCAGAGTCCAGAGTTACGGTAGCTTCGGTAGGGGCTTATTTTCGGGGAGGTCTTATTTTCGGGGGGATGCCTTATATTTCAATGAGAGGTAAAACTATAAGTAGGTCTTATTTTCGGGGGATGTCTTACTTTGGGGGAAACAGTGTATTTACTACTCAGATGGCTTCTCGGTGTAAGCACTGAAAGAGACAAGAAAGCAGCCAGAGTGCAAATGCTCTGGGGATGAAGTCTCAGGGTGAACATAGGATCACTGTCAACCGCAGGAAGAGTTAGTGCCGTGAAGGCTGGGTTGGACAAAATTGTTTTGACTAATCCTGTGTGCATAAAAGTAGGAGAAAATATTGCCTTTAACCGAAGAGTTGAGAAACACTGGTACTTAATTGGCTAGGGCCAGATAAGGAGTGACAATCAAGCCAACAGTAGGTGATGACTGAAGACCTCGAGTTAAATAATAATATATTTGGATATATTTGGAATTTCCCTTCCCAACCCTAGGTTTATATTTTCAAAGCAGTACCACAATTCAATTTCACAGCTCAGTACCTTAGTAGTACCCATAAGGTTATTCTCAGTATTTGGGGATGAAAGTTGAGCCTCCAGTACTAAACTACACTCTGTATTAAGTGAATAATTATTGTAATATTGAATTTACACTACAATTTAGAAAAATACCTGATTCCAAGTAATGTCCAATTAACGCATTGGCAGTAAAATGATTTGCTACAGTCAGTCTTTGCTATAGCACACATGCCACGTGAACCTATTTGAAATAAAGTTTTTCTAAAAAATAAAGCTGACTTTCCACATAAAGTAGTAGGAATTAAGGTGAGAGGCAATAATACCAAATAAGGTAGGTGAATGGAGAGATGTCTTCAATTCCCTCCCCCCATCCCAAAGGCAAAGATCATAAAGACAAATTTTTATTGTATTTTAAAAATTTAAGAATGAAACATACATCAGTGTTTTCGAAGAGGGTGATACTGGGTACTGGAACAATGGGAGGAGACTGTAAAATGAGGTACCTATCTATACTTTATCTGGGGAGCCTTGGTTGTCTGATGGTTATGCACTGGGCTGCTAACCACAAGGTCAGCAGTTTGAAACCAGCAGCCACTCTTTAGGAGTCTTCCCCAAATAAGTTACAGTCGCAAAAACCCACAGCAGCAGTTCTATCTTTTCCTAGAGGGTTGCTGTGAGTTGGCAATGATGCCATGGCACTGAAGTATACTTTGTCCTCGATTATGGATTATAGTACAGAAATGTTTCATTGTCAGAGGGCACTGAGTAATTTATTTTTCCTTTCCTGAAAAGAGCCAAATACATTTGGGAACCTATGATATACACACAGAAGAGTTCCTGGTTAGCTCAAATGGTTAGGTACTTCCTCACTAACTGAAAGGTTGACAGTTCAAATCCACCCAGAGGCATCTTGGAAGAAGGTCTAGAAATCTGCTTTAGAAAGATCACAGTCTTGGAAACCTAATGGAGGACACTACAATTCTGAGCATATAGGATGGCCAGAAGTTGAAATCACCTAAAAGAGAACTTGGTTAAAATCAACTAAAAGAGAACTTGGTTATTCATTTGTTTATATATGGAAGTTTGTCATAAGTATACATACAGGTCTTTGAATTTTCACAAAGTATACATGCCCATGTAACCAGTCTTAAACCAAAAAC